ATCAAACAGACTGTTGGATATGTGGAGTTTTGCCCATATAGAGCATGTCTGGGTTACCCCAATAGGCTTCTCCTTTACAAGGCACTGCTTAGCACTCCTTATACACTTATATTTTAGATATAATACATAATCCTAACACTAACATATATTGTGATAATTCTATCACTAGACACAATGTTTCTTCTTGGCCCATGATCAGTATGACTTGGAATTTTCTGGGTCATAACCAAACTTTTTCATACCCTAAAACTATCAAGGTTTTAATTGAATTCACAAGTCCACTAGCTAATGCCCATCAAGGAATGCCTAGATTACAAAAGTCTACTTATCAATTTACCCAGGATGGTATATATACCAAATCTGGGATGAATATTTATGGCTCACACCCCTTCACTGGACAACTCAGTCAAAAAGCAATTTTACACTAGAAACAAAGAAACCATACATATGATACCTGGACAAATAGCACATGACATTTGGGATGGCTATCTCTAGAAATATGTTCTCAAATCTTCGTATTCCAGGCTACTGATTGGACAAGGTAGTGCAGAATTAGATGGCTAGCTCCAAATGGAATCCAGTGGTTATGTGGATCTAACCTAGGGCCCTGACTTCCTCCAGGATGGGTAATAGGTCATTGCCCCTTGAGTTTTGCTTGGATTCGTGGGTGTATAATCAAAACTATCACAACCCTGGCTAATCTTCAAATTTAAAACAATGATGGACACAATAAATACTTCACTGATAAGATCACTTAACGTCCATCTTTGTTCCATCAATGGGACTAAGGAATGTCATTTGGCATATGGAAGCCCTTAATAAATAAACTGTAAAAGCACTAAATGACTCACAAACAGTATTTCTTTACTCAATGCTGATATTACACTGATGTGTAAAGCAATTCTACAAAATTATATGGCCTTGCATGTTTTAACAGCTGCATAAGTAGTTACATGTGCCATTATCAAAGTGGAATGTAGTGTATATATTCCATATTTTTTAAAAGATATATTTCAGATTATCACAAAAATGGAACAAGATTGCTAAAAGATATGAATCTCCAAAGTGGCACTTTACATAATCCTTTTCTCTCCTTTAATGATTGCTTAAACTTCTGGACAAAAGGAAAATTTTAGTTGACTATCAAAGGTCTCTTTATATTAGGCTTCTTTTTCTCTAATAATATTAATCTTAATTTGTGGTCTCTTCCAGTGTCTCCCTGCCTGGTGCCTAGACTCCTTCACTTCCATAACTTCAAGCTGACACATGATCCTTTGTACTCAAGGAGATTCATATATGTTGTCTGCCTTGGACTTGACTGTCACTGCTTTCGTAACTCCTTTATATAAATTCCCCCAACTGACCAATGCTGACCCATAGGTAGGGACATCTCTACACAGAAAAAAGTACAGAAGATAAGACCTTCCACCTCAGTAGTCTTAAAGATTTAAGGGTCAAAATTGTTGGGGGGAGGGGTGGGGGGGGAAGGGAATAATGAAGAGAACAAAGGTGAAAAAAATGTAAATGAAATTAAATTTCCTTACAACTTGCACCCATTGATAAATACTTGAGACAGGAAGAATGTGACATTCCTCAAGGAACTCACATTTGCTTAATGCTAATGCTTTGCTAGAGACTAAAAGCAACAGCTTGATGATAGCCAGACCTCCAGGATCCTGTAAGTCTTCTTTAATGTACAGAAATCCGTATATGTTAAACTCCAAAATATATAATCAGTCACAGCTCACAATCACAAGTGCAGCTCTTTCTGCCCATGGGTCCTGTCCCCTGCTTTAATAAAAGCACCTTTTTGCACCAAAAATATTTCAAGAATTCTTTCTTGACTCCTGAGCTCAATGACCCTGAAAGAGGGACCATGGCTTCAAAGGGTATTCCAAACATTGGGAATTATCCCACTTAAAGTAATCAAGATAACCTTTCTGGTCCATTATATTCTTTCAAAAGCTTTAAATGCAGCAGCAAAGGAACCAAGGATGACTGATTTACAGGACGCAAACCTAAATTCACAATCTGCAAATATCACAGAGATAAAGTCATGACCTGTGAATGCCACGCAAAGAATCAACGAAAGATTCAAGAACTTTCAGAGCAGTGACATTAATGCCGTAAATTTTGGTCACATCTCTCAGTTAAGCTGAAAGTCTGATCAAAAGGAGGGAATTGTTAAAAAGAAAATCACAAGCCCAAATGGCATCACTTAAGGCCCCAAGTCAGTGTGTTGAGGGAGCATGCGGCAAGCTGAGGGCAAAGTACAGGCTAACAGAAGCCCCCGCCACCACCAGATGGGATATGAGCGATATTTCTCAGACATCTCTGGCTGCCCAAGAACAGGGAGAAGGAAAGGAAAGAAAGCAAACGGTTGCCTGATAGAGATCACAGTCACACAGGACAGGGGTCTCCTTCAGTTGACAGATAACTTAGTAAACTGCAAGAAAAAGGCAATCTTATCCATAGCCTCATCTCCACAAACCTATAGACTCTATTTCCTGGAGCCCTAATATCACCCTCATCAAGATGTAAGGGGGTTTAAGTACTTGCCATGGTGATGTGGGAAACAAAGGCAAATGAAAAAGTAAATTCCCTTACTGCCTCCAGCCCATTGACGAGTTCTTGAAACAGGCAGGGTGACCTCCGTCTTGGAGCTCAGCTACCTCGATGATGACACTTTGCTAGGGGCACAGAGGAGTCTTGGATGAACATTATCCCAACCCCCCAGGATCCTGTAAGTCTACTTTAACATATAAAATTCCTTTAGAGACTTCCTTTATCTCAACTGCCCCAAGAAACATTCTGGCAATCATACCCCAAGCTTATGACTCCCTAATATACATCTGAAGGGTCTCATGACTGAGGTTTTACTAAACAGTAATAAATGGTGTTTTCCTAACAGTAGCTAGCCTTGCTTCCAAAATACCTTAGATACTTGCTCTATCCCTGACCCCTCTCAACCTGGTGGTATATAGTCAGTTACTCATCACAACCCCAGTGCAGCTCTTTCTACCAAGGGGCCTATCCCCCTGCTTTAATAAAATCACCTTTTTGGGGCACCTGGGTGGCTCAATTGGTTAGGTGTCTGACTTCGGCTCAGGTCACAATCTCACAGTTCGTGGGTTAGGGCTCCGTGTTGGGCTCCGTGCTGACAGCTAGCTCAGAATCTGGAGGCTGTCTTCAGGTTCTGTGTCTCCCTCTCTCTCTGACCCTCCCCTGCTCATGCTGTCTCTATCTCTCTCTAAAAATAAATTAAAAACATTAAATTAAAAAAATAAAATAAAGTAAAATCACCTTTTTGTACCAAAGACGTCTTCAAGAATTCCTCCTTGGCCATTAGCTCTGGATCCTCCCATCATAACCCCAAAACCCTATCAAGTAAACCAAGACTTACTACCTAACCTAACGGAGATTGCAACACCCCAAATGTTACCCCATGTAACCTGTAACCAGTCAACATCAAATTTCCTGGTCAATCTAGACCAGGAGTAGAGTAGTATGTAGAACTTATACTCTACTTAGAGGGGCAACTTGGCTAAACAATGCATTCCTTGCTAATAAATTCCTTTCTTCTCCTTCTCCTCCTCCATTTTTTTAAAATGCCCTTTCTCTGCCTTCAAATACCTTTCTCCAGTTTAGCTCCAAGGAGCTCCTTCCACGTGTAATGGGATGCCACCAGCCTGATTCATGAATCACTTCACAAAGCCAGTTAGATCTTCAAATTGACTCAGTTGAATTTTGTTTTGTAACACTGGTAATCTGATGTAAAATGTTTCTGAGTTCTATGAGCCACTAGGGCAAATTAACGAAACTGAAGGAAGGGGTCCCCGGACCCTCCTTTGTATAGCCAGTCAGTCAGAAGCACAGGTAACAATCTGGGTTTGACGTCTAAAGTGGGGAGAGGGCAATTTTGTGGGGCCAAGCCCCTCAACTGTGGGTCCCAACACTATCTCCAGGTATAGAGATGCTACTCAGAATCGAGTTGAATTGTAGGACCTCCAGCTGGGGTTAGGCAACTGCTTACGGGTGTGGGAACCACCTCCCCCACATCAGAACTCGGTGTCAGAATTATGGGTGGTGATCAGAAATGGGACCTGAGTCAGAGTTATAATGTGTTATGTATAATAAAAGATAAGAAATCTGTCTTTGTGTTGCTACTAAATATAAAGGCCTAGATATTAATATTGTTTTTTTTTTAATTTTTTAATCTCATTTTTGAGACAGAGACAAAGCATGAGTGGGGGAGGGGCAGAAAGAGAGGGAGACCCAGAAACCGAAGCAGGCTCCAGGCTCTGGGCTGATAGCACAGAGTCCAGTGGGGGGCTCCTACTTACAGACTGTGAGATCATGACCTGAGCCGAAGTTGGATGTCCAACTGGCTGAGCCACTCAGGCACCCCATTAATATTGTTAAAAAGAAGACAGCAAACCCAAAATGGAGTCATCTATTCTAAACCCCACCGAGACTTACTACCTAACCTAATTGGCAGCTTCAGCTTCTTGCAGAAATGTGACCTTTAGCCAGACAACCTGAAATCTTCTGGATTTCAGAAATTAATTTCAGGATTACTAGAAATTAATCCTTAAGTTCCCCTTAGGAGAGCCACCTTGAAAAAAATAATGCATTGTTTGATAATAATTTTTCTTTTTCCACTCCTTCTCTGCCTTTAAAAACCTTCCCTTTCCTAAACCTCAGTAGAGTTTTTTTTCCACCCCTGGATGAAATGCTGCTGGCCTCATGAATCATTGAATAAAGCCAATTTGACCTTTAAATTTACTCCGTTGAATTTTTGTTATTTAATATTTACTGACTAGAACACTTTCAACTTTCTATGGACATGAATCTGATTGACACAGTTATTTACACTGTAAGAATATATATATTTTTGCCATAGAACTTAATAAAATGTTTATTTTTTAAATATCAGTCCTAACCATTATTCTGTGACTGAAACTGGCTCCCATAAAAAAGAAAAAATAATTTTTGCTTACCTGCGAATTATACTCTGCGGACTCAGGAATACTAGCTGAAGCCAGAAGAATAATTCTACTCTCCAAAGAAAGAATTTAGATGAGGAAGGCACTGCTCTGAGGACTGAGTCTATCAGAGGTCCTCATTTATAAGTCATGGCACATACAGTGAAAGGGGGAGGGAGACAAGGACAGAGACAACAAGTCAGAGAAATAAAAAGTGGTATTAAAAGATAAGGATCAAAACACCTTCCGGAGAGACAGCTTGCTTGTTGAGTCATGCTGAGTAGGAGCCAAGAAACACAGGATCTGGTGATTCTGCAGTCGTCAAGCTGGAGAAAGGGGGCAGAGGTCACTTACATAAGATGCACGGGGTGAAAGGTGGTGAGGAGGCTGAGGCCACCAGGTACAATGCAGTCACCAGACACCTATCTAGGAAAGAGAGGAAAGAAGCCTAGAAAAAGCCAGCACAAGACCATTAGGACAGAAGATGCCCATGTCCCGCATCAAAGAGTCCGGGGCACTGGTACAATCTTAGGATCTGAATGTCATAGCCCTTGGAGAGAAAATCCAGACACGATGGGAGCAGAGGTCAAGGGTGTCGCCTGCTGTCCAGAATATCTCCAGCCTCCTACAACCGGGTTGAATGAAATGGAAGGGAAATACACATCTGGGAAAAATCTAGGCTAACAACTGTCATCTTCTGGGTGACTAACATGTCCCCAACCCAGAGTGATCCTCAACCACTCCCGCATGAACCAGAAAGCTCCCTGCTCTCCTGTGTATTTCTTCCCAGTGTTAATCAGTGACTGGCTGGAAAAAAGAGCTTAGGGTGCCAGGAGACAGTGGGGGAAAGGTGACAGGGAGGCCCTTTCTAAGGAAGCTCCCAGGGAGCTCCCAGGGTAGCACAGGCTGCAACAAATCTATGAATCCAGGGAGCTTAATCAGGAATGGATACGTTTTAGCATGGAATAATTCCAGAAGGAAACAGGGTGTGGTCTGAAGGAGATCATTTTTTTCTTTTTTATTTCTGTCCTAAGGATCTTATTTCCATGCAAATAGAATTTAAGAGTATAACAAACAGATAATAGAAGAATTTTAATCAGTTAAAAAGTTATTCATAATTACTTTACAAGATGCCCTTGTTTTTTTAACTTCCTAAATCTTAATCAACTAGGATCAAAAGCCCTCTGCATATTTAATGTGCCCCCTGTGTATTTACACATGATAGAAAAACATTTGCATACATTAGAGTAGGGAGTTTTCTAAGTCCCCCTCCATTTAACTGTAGGGTCCACTACCCATACCTATACTTACATATACTTACATTGCATCTACATGGCTCACACATGCAGCTCACACATAAATGAGTTTGTGCTATATCAGACACAGAAAATGTAAAACATGTACAACCCATCCAACGTTTTTTAAATTTTAAGTTTGTTGTTTTGGCCAGTTTGTGACATCTCTTCTAAACAGACATGATGCTTTTGTTTTCTCTCTCCCTTTCTTTGCCAGGGTAATCCTAAAAGTCTGCCAGAGGGAGCGGATCCTTATCCCCTTCCTTATCCTTATCATCTCCCCAGTCCTTGCCCTAAGCGCGGAGGGTCCTTCTCGAACACTCTTCTGTTATGGAGGGCCATAACTAAGACAAGCAAAGAGGTTCCTCAGACGGCCATCTCATAAAACCCGATCAAAGAAAGCAAAGGATTAACTCCATGCAGAGCTTTGGTTTCCAGCTCAGAGACCTCCTCTGACAACATCACTCTAAAATAGTAACAGGCACATGGGATGTGATGTCAGAAGACCCATGTGTCAGATCTAGAGGTCAAATAGTAGAGAGATTTGGGTGAAAGTGCAGCAAATAAACTATTGCGCAGGGGGTTAAAAAAGATGAGTATAAAAAAATTCTTTTAACTCATGAAACACTACCATTATTACTATCATTACTGCTGTCACTATAACAAGTTCTCAAAATATCCCCATGAAATAAGCTGTAGGTGCATTGTTTAATGTGTTTACCTCGGGCCTTCCACACCTTCCACACCATCGTCACAATCAATATCTTTATTTTTCCATAACCCTACTGTTACCTTGGACCTGAGCATCACCTTTACGTAGAAAAAGTGAACCCCAAGTTCTCTGTCACCACCTAAAGACGTCTAGAACCACAACCTCTCTCCATATTAAAGCTTCCCATGTCTTTAAAATTCTGCCTACATAATGTGAACCGCACACTGCAACAGTGTGTCATAATGTCAAAGATTTTCATTATGCCTGTCTACCCCATCTGTTCAAAGAAATGGATCATCCTGAATTCCTCCTACCTCATAGTGTCTTTCAGGAGCAAGTTGGCTTCCAATGAGAATGATCTGTGGGAAAACATAACATGTTGTAAAGGCACCACTGAGGGAGAATTCTTCAAACTGGGTGCAAGCTGACCCCATGGGGTCCCCACAAGTTCTCAGGTCAGTGGTTTGACACTTCAGTAACGTGCATGTCTGGGTAGGCAAAGGGGAGATAAGTAGTCAGAGATCCTGGAAATATTTTCTCCGTGAAAGACACGATCTCAAGGACTAGAGGAAGATCTGTTAAGTTGCATCTGTCAGGGAAGAAGAATTTCCTGTCGCCTTCAAGGTCCTTCTAGCCAGACTGAGAACTGAATGGGCATGAGACAGATTAACAGGAGAAAGTCAACTTTAAAATGTGTGTATGGGAATCCATACAGACATGGAAATTCCAAAAACAGGCCAAATGAGGTGTTCATATCATTTGGGAGTGAGGAGAAGGGCATACGGGTCTGGGACTTCAAAGGGAAGGAATGCAATTCATAGAAAGATGAGAAAGAATAACCATTTGGTAAACAAATGTTTGCTGGACCTCTTAGAAACCATGGGACATGGAGGCCTTGGATCAAACAGGGCTTGTGAGGTACCCCCCTGTCTGCCACTCCTAGTTCATGTCCTGACATTGTTGTCTATGCTGGTAGTTGTCTTCCTGAAGCAGATCCTAGATCTAAATTCTTATAAACAATGGTGGGGGAGGTAAAGAGTTTTTTTCTGACTCTTCTGGTTTCTGATTGCTTTTTAAGTCACAATAATCTTCATGCCCAAATGGCTCCTTTTGGGGTAGCCTGCCTTTATCCCCTACATCTCTTAAGCAGTCTTTTCAAACTGGAGGTCATATACTATTAGTGAATTCTAAAATCAGTTCAATAGGTCAGGACTAACTCTCTCTCTCTCTTTAATAAAGTGAAATGCAATAAATCAGACTTTAAAAGTCAGACTGCCATTGCTCATAATTATGGCTGTTTCTAATTCGAACTGAATTAATAAATAAAATATTTGTTTAAATTTTAATCAAGCATCTGCATTGCACTGCATCATTATGTGAACTGAACTTCTGATAATGGACTCCTGTTGAAGACAGTTTGGAAAGCTATGTTCTAAAGTAACCTGACACAGAATGAGAATGCATGGAAGTTACAGTCTTTTCAAATCCAGCTGGCTGAGAACCAGTCAAGCTGCTTTATGTTTTACCTTGCACCCAAGAAAAGAAATCCTGTTCTTGCTAAGACTAAATAAATAAAGTGTTCTGGGGGGAAATGTCAGTGATAAATGTAATGTGCTACCAAGTAACTGAATCCAGCATAATTTTTAAAGAAATGCAATAATGATATAGAAGAAAAACATAAACAATCCACTCTAACCTATGTCAGTAGTTTTTACCTGTACATTGACCTTCTACTGTGTACAGTCCATCAAAAGCACCTAGTGCATACACCTCATCTGTTCGTTTCTCAGACATCTTGTAAGTTAAGTGACAACACAGGTCTTTCTGGCAAACTGTGTAATTTCCTGTTTCTCTTAACCTCAATGAAAGTGAACTCATCAAAATAAATCATCCCTGGAAAAGCTGACTGTTCAGACAAGAATGGCTTGACACTTCTGGCATAAGCACTCCAATCAGCAGCTGCAGGATAGGTGGGTTCACTTCAAGGCCCGGACTTCAGTTCTGACAGCATCAGCAGGCCACTCTGTTTCCACATCATAGTGATACACTTTTACCACTTCTGGCACATAGATTCCACTCCCTTTGGGGACACAAGGTAACACAAACATTGGTTGCAAATTTTGCATGGTCACAAATTCATAGAATCATTCCCCGAAGAAATTAGATATGGCCTTAGGAAAGCATAAGCACTTTCAGGATAGTTAAGGAGATAGCTTGTTAGCCTGGCATAGTTCCAGTATGACTCCGTGTCCTCCATAAGGTTCTGCTTGCCCTGAAATTATCAGCTGGCTTGGGTGACATCTCTTTCTTACTTAAACTACCTCTTTTTTAGCCAACTTAACAACAACTAGAAAATTCCCCAAACACAAATAATAATTTTAGTTCTCTGTTGGCCTATGTAATTTATTTGTGTTTAAGTTTCTTCACCGAGATCAACGAATAACCAAGAAGCCAAGAGGGGAGCTTATATCCCTTGAACATGGATGCAATGAAGGAAAAACTCTAAAGACCTCATTAAATCTAAAATGATTTTTGTCACCTTAAGCACAAAGATTTATTTCACTATTTTTTTCTTTCTGCTCCAGTTATTTCTTTTCTTTTTTTTTTTTTTAATTTTTTGAATAGTTTATTGTCAAGTTGGTTTCCATATAACACCCAGTGCTCATCCCCACAAGTGTCCTCCTCCATGCCCATCTCCCCCCTCAGGCTTCCCCCACGCCATCAGCCCTCAGTTTGTTCTCGGCATTCAAGAGTATCTCATGGTTTGCCTCCCTCCCTCTCTCCCACTATTTTTCCCCTTCTTCTCCTCCATGGTCCTCCGTTAGGTTCCTCCTAATCTTCCTATATGTGCAATCATATGGTATTTGTCCTTCTCTGCCTGACTTATTTTGCTCAGCATAACACCCTCAAGTTACATCCGTGTTGCTACACGTGGCCAGATTTCATTCTTTCTCATTGCCATGTAGTATTCCATTGTGTAGATAAACCACATCTTCTTGATCCATTCGTCAGCTGATGGACACTTAGGCTCTTTCCATGTTTTGGCTATTGTTGAGAGTGCTGCTGTGAACATTGGGGTGCATGTGCCCCTATGCATCAGCACTCCTGTATCCCTTGCGTAAATTC